TCAGCCCACCAGGGGGCGGGGCTGGCTGGCATGTGGTGCTGGGGGATTGAACCACGGTCCCTGTGCTTTTCTAAGCTTGTTCTAAGTAGGTGCTTTAGACCACTGAGCCATCTCACCAACCCCTCAAAAATAATTTTTAAAAAGATTGTGAAATCTCATTGTAAAATGCCTGGTGGAGGTAATAGTTAAGTGCTTTTTGCCTGTTTTTTAAAATGTATTTGTTACAGGGTCCCACTACGCAGCTCGAACTCAGTGATCCTCCTGTTTTCAGCCTCCCCAGTGCTAGGACTACAGGTATGCGCCACACACCCAGACTTGACTGTTAAAGTCCTGTACGGGGCATGAAGGTATGCACCTGTATCCACAGATATGTGGAAGCTGAGATAGGACAACCAAAAGTTGGAGGCTAGCCTGGGGAATTTAGTGAGACTCTACCTCAAAAATGAAAAATAAGGGGCTGGTGAGATGGCTCAGTGGTCTAAAGCACCTACTTAGAACAAGCTTGGCAAAGCACAGGGGCCGTGGTTCGATCCCCCAGCACCACATGCCAGCCAGCCCTGCCCCCTGGTGGGCTGAGCTGGCCACACGCGCGCGTGCGCACACACACACACATAAATAAATAAAAATTAAAAAAAAAGAAAGAAAAATAAAAAGGGCAACCAAAGGGCTAGGGAGATAGCTTGGTCTGAGCGTCTGCCTGGCTGGCCAGTGCAAGGATCTGGGTTCAATCTCCGGTACTGCATGCCATGCCTGTCCAGGAAACCCTGGGCATACTGTGCTGTACCCAGAAATTGGGTGTGGTGGTACATGCCTGTAATCCCAGCTCTCTAGGAGACTGAGGGAAGGGACTGCCACAAATTCAAGGCCAGCCTCAACTACATAGCAAGCACCTTTCTCAAGCAAAACCACTAACAATAGAAAACAAAAACAGATCCTTAGCTTGAGCCCTGAATTACATAAAGGTGACACTGACAAAGGCACAGACCTCTACTGGGCCACAGTGTAGGTGGCAGTAGTATGACAGGAAATTAGGATGCTTTTGTAAAAATATTGACTATTCACTTGGGCCTCCATGTACCTAATGGAGAAATAAAATCAGGGCACAGCTTTACATCTTCATTTTGTTTTTACTTAAAGTTTATTGTAATGGGGTTGGTGCAAAAGGAGGGGCTGGAGAGTGTGAACTCGGGAACCCAATGACAGGGCCAGGGCCTTGGCTCTGCCCTGGGGAAGAAGGGTGGAGAGAAAAGAGCAGGGCAGGAGCTGGAGGAGAGGGAAGCGGGAGACAGGAAGGTGGCTCTCCACCCAGGAAGTGGCTCCTGTCCCTGATCCCCTCCTCTGCTCTGGCGCCCTAAGATTTCACTCCTTGTTCTACCTCTGGTCCTTGCGGCTTCTTTTGATCCCTTAACTTCTCCTGAGGGATTCTCAAGTAGGGTAATGTTTAGGTCCGGCCCAAGTGTTTACGTTCCTTTATGAAAGTACAACCTCCACCTCCCTTGCTTTCTCTCTTCACATACCTACTCTGGGACAGAATCTTTGAATCTTTGATGTCCCCCTTCCCTGTCCTCCTTTCCCTTGGGAAACAAAATAAAATGTAAGCACCAAGTCCTCTGGGTGGGGCAGCAGACAGCAGGTGAGAGGACAAAGACAGAAGGGAGGAGAGCAAGCACACGGGAGGAAAGGCTCACAAATCCCTGGTGTTAGGAAAAAAGAAGAAGACCAAGATATGAGTGCAATAGAGCAGCTTTATTTCAGAACAAGCCTGAGGGACACGCTGGCACTGGAGACCAGACCAGCTGCTCCTCTGCAGGTCATGGGGTCTTTTGTAGGGACAGGGGGAGGGGAGTTCAGTGAGAGGGGGTTGCAGCTCCCTGCCAAGAGCAAAGCTTGGGAGAGTGTAAGAGGTGATGGTGGCCCAAGGACGAGGCTTGGGAAAGCACAGGGGATAAGGGCTATGATTGCTTTTTGTTTTTGAGACAGGGTCTCATCATGTAGACAAGGCTGGCCTTGAACTCCCTAAGGAGCCCCGGCCGGCCTACATTTATGGTGATCCTCCTGCCTCTGCCTTCCAAGTGCTGGGATTACAGGCATGCATCACCACACCTGGCTGTGGCTATCAATAGCGGGGCTGGGCTGGTGAGATGGCTCAGTGGTCTAAAGCACCTACTTAGAACAAGTTTAGCAAAGCACAGGAACCACGGTTCAATCCCCCAGCACCACATGCCAGCCAGCCCCGCCCCCAGGTGGGCTGAGCTGGTCACACACACACACACACACACACACACACACACACACACACACAAATAAATAAATAAAAATTAAAAAAAAAAATAGCGGGGC